TGACTGTAGCAGCTGGGTTTTGTCCATCCTAATAGCCATGCAGAGGGATCTCAATTTAATTTTTGTCTGATAAATGAACTAGATAATTTTGATAAATTCACTAGAACAGTGAATACCATTTCCTAATCTTACTTGCTTCCTACATGATTTTAGTAAGGGACCTTTTAGTTTTAAGTTGGGTTGGTTTCTTTTTTTGTTGGGGTATAGGGTGGAGAGCATGCCATGACAAGCATGTGGAGGTGGAGGACATGAGGGAGTCAGTTCTCTGCCATTGCGTGGTTCCCTAGGAGCAAACTCAGGTCTCCAGTCTTGGCAGGGGAATCCTGAACTCACTGACTCATCTGGATGGTCTCTTTTTCTTATTCTCTTATTTACAATTTAGATTTAATTAATATTAATTTTGCATGAGTGTTTGTGCATGGGCCATGGCACGCACGTGTAGATTGGAGGATAACCTGAAGGAGTTGACTCTCTCTTCCACCTGGTACATTCTGGGTAAGCAGGCTTGGTGGCAATCATATTAATCTACTGAGCCATCTTGCTGGCACTCTTTTATTTTTTAATTTTGTTTTGTTTGTTTTAGTTTTGTTGGACCAGGGTCTCATGTAGCCAGTTGATACCCACTTGGCTGTATTGCAGAGGCTGGCTTTCCATTCCTGATGCTCCTCCTCAGATTTCCAATCTCTGGACATCTAGACTTGAAATGGGAAGGTGATTTTTTTAAAAAACTTTTATCTGCTTTTATTTTATGCTGAATTTATTCCTGTGCCATAAATTTTTGTTTCTTCCATTTCTTCTGGGATATCTTTTTCTTCTGTGGTGATGAATATGATTGTGCACATGTACAAAGCTTTCAAATAATAAAAATATTATTTAAAAATAGAAGGCTCCACTGGGCAGTGGTGGCGAAGGCCTTTAATCCCAGCACTTGGGAGGCAGAGGCAGGCGGATTCTGTGAGTTGGAGGCCAGCCTGGTCTCCAGAAAAAAAAAAAAAAATTAAAAAAAAAGAAAAAGGAGGCACCAGTGTGTGTCTTCAGCCAGATGCACCTGGATGAGGACAATGTTGTCTTTTTTGTTACCATTGCTGATGACTGTTACTATTCTGCTGTTCCAACTTCTAATGGTTTTGGTCAAGTCAGTCTCTTTCAGTGTCCGTCTCCACCACCCCCACCTCCCTCCCTCTGTTCTAAATGAATTTAGGATTCCTTTCATCTTTCCTTCTGACCGTCTTCCTGCTCAGGTTGGTAGTAGTAAGGCTTTGTAGAGTGTGCTGATCATGTGACGTTTCCATTCTTGGTGGTTTTCCAGAGCAGGAAAGCAATCCAGCACCAGATGGGCCAGGATAAGACAGCTCTCAGAGTCTCCCAGAACAACCCCCGCCCCATTCAGGAGAACAACAAAGTCAAGAGAGAAGTGAGGATCTCTGAGATCTCTGGACTCTGATTGCCTTTCTCAATAAAGAGTCTGGGAATATTCTACCCATGATCCCTCTAGGGTTGAATCATAACATGCAAGACACATCTTCAATTTCCTTGAAAGAAAACTATTATATAAAGCTGGAAGTGGTGGTGTACACCCATAATCCCATTGCTCAGGAGGATCTGAAGTTCTAGGACATCCTGGGCTACACAGTAAGACCTTGTCCGGAAGGAAAAAAAAAGTACTATATAAATATTGGCTATAACCAATATTACATTTTGGATAAGTTATTCTATTTTTGTTAAACTTGTTACGATAAATCTTTCCGCCACCTGCTTGAGTTCTGCCTGTCATGTGGGTGGCCAAAATAATACACAGAGACTTATATTAGGTACAAATGCTGCTTGGCCAATGACTAGGATTTCTCATCTGCTAGCTCATTTTTAATTATCATAAATGTATATATATTATAAGACTTACCTTATTGGAAGCCAGTGGCATGCATCTTGTCTTCCTGGGCTCACATGGTGACTCTGGAGGAAGAGAGAAGGGGGCCCACTTCCTTCTTGCCCTTGTTTCTATATGAGTCTCCCTGCTATGACACTTCCTGCCTGGATCACCACTTCTTTACTTCATTTCCCAGAATCCTCCTTGACTCCTAGTCCCGCCTAACTTGCTGCCTCATTGGCCAAACAGTACTTTATTTATCATCCAATAAGACAAACACATACCCAGAAGCACTTCCCCCAATATAAACTAACATGGGTATAATTATTACTATTATTTAAAATATGGAAAGGTACAGATGTTACCATCTAGAATGCAGAAGGTCCACTCTGCTTGAACAAGTGGTGCAGAAGTCTGTTGTCTGGTATCTGGTAGCCTGGACTAGAATATTCATTTTCTGAAAACATGATGCCATATGCTGAGCCCTAGTCATGCCAGGCCATGTGCTGTGCTAGCTGCTCCACTGGGACTTAGGTGGCTCCCCATATTTTATAGATGCACAAAAATCTCAAGGCATGGTTCAGACCCTTGAGCCATGGGTTTTCATTGCTACTTGCTCCTGCCTTCTGGAACCCATGCAGATTACAGATGGTGTTTGTTCTGCATGGAGCTCAGCTGCCATGTCTGGTGATGTTTCTGTGGAAAAATGAGCCTCAAATTCTTTCTCTGGATTCCAGTGGTGGCAGGATCGTGCCTTCCCAAACCCTCCTGGGGTTGGTTGAGCAATACTCATTTGGTTAACCAAGAGTGTGTGGCTGTCTTCACCAACACCCAGGACTTTCTCTAGAAGCTTGCATTCTCTTTGGGATTAAATACTCCAAGGTATCCCTCTTTCTCTCAAAGTTCCAGGTCCCTACTGGAGCAGGTCTGGACATATGAAGGCTGGGGATGCACACTCTCAGAGATGGCTGGGTTCTGTGTGACTTTGCAGGGCACATCATGAGTGTCATTTACTTCCTTTCCTCTCTTTTCAGACTCTTTCATGGTTGGCCTCTGATTGCCTCTCCTTCTCTCCCCCCATGGATTCCTAGCTTCTCTGCCAAGGAGAAATGACATGCTAATTCATGACTGTCTGAGAGTCTTTCCAATTCTCAGTTGTAAAAAGTCAAGTGCAAAAAAGGTCCTTTAAGTCTGCCTTGTGCCTGGTGCATGACAGGTATTCAGCCAGTGTTTTTTGTATGAAAGAGTTTCTCATCATGCCTGTCTTCTGAGTCCATTGAGTTGACCAGGCTTGTCTTTTGTATTTACTTTTGGTAGTCTGAGTATAAAATGTTCCCTATGGATTCATGCATTTGAATACTTGTTCCCCAGCTGGTAGTCCTGTTTTCAGAGGTTCTAGAACCTTCAGGAAGTAGGCCCTAGGAAGTCAGTTGCTGGCAGTGGGCCTTGAGACCTATATCATGGACCCACCTCCTTTCCCCTTTCTGCTTCCCCATCTGTCCAGATGTGAGCAGCAGCTTTGAGCTCCGGCTGCCATGGTTCCTCTGACATAATAAACTATATCCTTGCTCAGTGAGCCAAAACCAACCCTCCATCCTTTAAGTTGCCTCTTTTCAACCATTTGCCCATAGCAACAAATGACGAATACATCTTATAGATATGGGTCATTGAATTAGATTTGCATATATTCTGTGGGGGAGTCCTGACTCTCAGCTCTCAGGGTAAAGCATCAGACCGCTGCTTTTAGGGTGCTTTTGAGGGAGAGAATGGGTCTGCTGAAGACTAATGCAAAGGGAGTCAGGACTGGGGAAGGGGAATAGAGAACCATATTTTGGGATGGGAAGGTGTAAAAGTTTGAATGTAATTGCCCCCCCCATAAGTTCATAGGGAGTGGCATTATTAGGAGGTGTGGCTTTGTCGACGTAGTTATGGTCTTGTTGGAGGAAGTGTGTCACTGTGGAGGTGTGCTTTGAGGTCTCAGATATGCTCAAGCCATACCCCATGTCTCAGTTCACTTCCTGTTGCCTGTGGATATAGGACTCTCAGCTCCATCCCCAGCACCATGTCTGCTGCACACCACTATCTTGCACCATGTTGACAGTGGACTAAACCTCTGAAAATGTAAGCCACCCCAATTAAATGTTTTCCTGTGTAGGAGTTGCTGTGGTCATGGTGTCCCTTCACAGTCATAGAAACCCTAAGACAGAGGGGAAGATTTTGCATGAGAGAGATACTGGATGGACAGATTATTTTCAGCTATGTTTGAGGCAAGTTTTAGGAAGTGAAAGTTGGGGTTGTGACACATCCATGTACTGCCATTCCTCTAGAATGCCTCTGGCCATGTTCACAATGGAGAATTTGACAGTTCTTTTGCCATAGACATATTTCCTTCAAAAGATGTCAAATCCCAATTCCCTAGAACCTATGAATGGTATCTCTGGTGGCCAAGAGTTGGCAGATATAATTTAGCTAGGGATCTTGACATGGGGAGTTTTTCCTGGGCTATCCAGGTATACTCTTGAGCCCTGTCACACACAAGAAGCAAAGGAAAATTTGATGGAGGCACAGAGTTGAAGGCAGTAGAAGGACAGAGGCAGAGATTGGAGTGCTGCAGCCACAAGCCAAAGGATGCTAGTGACCACTGAACCCAGAAACGACAATGAAGGGATTGTCTCTAAGTCTCTGGAGGAACTGTGGTCCTTGTGGTCCCATCGATATTGTGATTCCATCCCACCAAGATGAGGTTCAGACTTTTCAACCTCAAGGATTATGAGAGAATACATTTTGGTTTTCCTAAGTCAACCACTTGGTAGTAATTTGTTAAAACAGTCATAGGAAAGCCATAGACTTCTTAATAGTTGAAGAAAGATAAGGACTTTTAACTTTTAAATAATCACTTTTTATTGCTTGAGAATTTCATATAGGGACATAAGAAATTTTGATCAAATTTACTCCTGCATTTAGTTCTCTCCAATTTCTCTCCTATGCCCTCACCAAACAGTGTTTCCTCCCAATCTCATGTGTTCTTAAAAACAAACCAACAAGCCCTTTTCTGTTCGGTTTGTGCTGTGGAGGTGGCGATTCCGGATACTGGATTTCTCATTTTCATCGCGTAGACACCTCCACTGCAAAGATGGTCAACATGCCTAAAACTGGAAGGACTTTCTGTAAGAAATGTGGCAAGCATCAACCTCACAAAGTGACCCAGTACAAGAAGGGCAAGTATTCCCTGTATGCCCAAGGAAAGTGGCACGACGATTGGAAGCAGAGTGGTTACGGTGGGCAGACAAAGCCAATTTTCCGAAAGAAGGCCAAAACCACAAAGAAGATTGTGCTGAGGCTTGAGTGTGGGGAGCCCAACTGCAGATCGAAGAGGATGCTGGCCATTAAGAGGTGCAAGCATTTTGAACTGGGAGGAGACAAGAAGAGAAAGGGCCAAGTAATCCAGTTCTAAAACTTGTGTCTTCGGAGAGGAAAATGCTGAAGCAGTAGGAAAATGACCTGTTAGAAAATAAAGTTATTGTTCCTAATACCTTAAAAAAAACAAAACCAAAACCCAAAACCAAAACCAAACCAAAACAAAAAAACAACAAAACAAAACACCAAGACTACTCAGTGCTGTCTGTAGGTATGAGTGTAGGGCCATCTACTGGAGCCGAATCCCTGAGAAATCAGACTTCCTTCCTCCCCACACCCTCAGTAGCCATCAATTGCCCATAGCCTCTCTCTCAGCTAGAGGTGAGACTTCATCATCCCCTCTGCCCCGCAGCCCCGGCCGTACACTATAGACCATTTTTTAGGTGGTTCTTGGTTATTGGCTTCTGTTTCTGAGTGTTCTGTGATTACTGTATCCACTGAAGTATTTTGCTATGGGAAAACTATGGGAAATCAGGTGAGACCAGTTTGAAGATGGAAGGTCTCCATGTATGACTACCACACTGGGATCCTGGTGAGCCCCAGGAACCAATGATGTAGGTTATAGGGCATTAGCTCTTTGGCTCTGAGGTGACTAGCCAATGGTGTGATCATAACCTAAGATGATGATCCTCATTGTACGGGGCCGAGACTGAACACGGGCCAGGCCTTTTCAGTCTTCAGGGGCAGTTTTCTGTCTTTTCAGGCCATACTGAATGTATATTAGTTGCTGGAGGCGAGGAACAGGTGTTCCAGTAGCATTTCACTGGTTCCTTAATGTTTAATGGTATATACACACCCTTTCAGCCTTTCTCACCTTCAACCCACAGCCAATGGTGTGCAAACCCCTCTGGGAAACTGTTAGACTAATCCTATTATTTATTTTGTCACCTCAAGGTTTAGAGAAAACAAAGTAACATGAGCCATTGTGTCTTTTTTGTTTTGTTTTGAGACAATATAGTTTCTCTCAAGTCTTTAGGTTTCTTCTTAAAGTTTTGTAGGAACAGAATTTAATGCTTTTATGTCACCTTCAAACTTTGAATTTTAATTCGAATAAGTCTACCACAAGATCCAGCAATTCCACTCTTAGGCAAATACCCAAAAGAAGCACATTCATACAACAAGGACATCTGTTCAACCATGTTCATAGCAGCACTATTTGTAATAGCCAGAAACTGGAAACAGCCTAGATGCCCCTCAACCGAAAAATGGATAGAGAGAATGTGGTACATTTACACAATGAAGTACTACTCAGCAGAAAAAAACAATGGAATCTTGAAATTTGCAGGAAAATGGATGGAACTCAAACTATTCTGAGCGAGGTAACCCAATCACAAAAATCACAAACATGATATGTACTCACTCATATGTGGATTTTAGACATAGAGTAAGGGATTACCAGCCTACAATCCACACTGCCAGAGAAACTAGTAAACAAGGAGGACCCTAAAAGAGACAAACTTTGTCCCTTGGAGAAGGGGAAAGGGTCATGATCTCCTGAGCAAATTGAGAGTATGGGAAGAGGGGGGGAGGGAGCTACGAGAACGAGAAGGGAAGAAGGGGAAGGATGTAGAGGTCATGAGGAGGCAGAAAGGTTGAGTCAGGTGTAGATTAGAAGAAAGGATATGTGATAGTGAGGGTTTTAGTTGGGGGGGTGGTAGGGGAGGAAGGGAGGGAGAAGGGAACTGGGATTGTCATGTAATTCAATCGTGTTTGTATTTCAAATAAAAAATGATAAAAAGCTTTGAATTTTGAAATAACAGTGTGTGTGTGTGTGTGTGTGTGTGTGTGTGTGTGTGTGTGTGTGTGTGTGTGTGTTACATTCAGACAAAAAGATCCTTCCAGAAGTAGATACCATGATATTGGAACATTGCTATATTGACTTTTTTCTTGAATCCTAGGTTCTTATATCAGAAACCCATGTTGAAGGATAACTTTAAAAAAGAAGTTGCTATCATAACTCACATGGATATAAAATGCACATGTGCCAGAGATTTGATTAGCACATGTTTAAATGTGAGAACCAGACAGATGTCATAAGTGCTGGAGCAAATTTAGACATAAATGCAAAATGGTCCCACCCACAGGGCAGAAACCACTTGAATTTCTTAGATACCACTGATTTGCATTTTTATGGCCATGAATCGTTTGCAATATCAGTTTTCTGTAATTTACAGGGTTGTATATATTGCCTATGGGTATTGAGAGGCAGCAGTAACCCAGCAGGGGCCTTCAACACTGCCAGTAATATTTTTTGGCAGTCCCTTTCAAACCTTACAATTCATAATAGTAGCAAAGCTACAGCTATGAAGTAGCAACAAAAATCATTTTATGGTTGGGGGTCAGCACAACATGAGGAGCTGTATTAAGGGCCTGGAACAGTAGGAAGGCTGCCTACTGTTAAGGAATTGGGGAATTAGTTATCTGCAGTGGGTCCTGGAGCCAGTCTCTTGTGACTATAAAGGATGGCTGACTATATGTCTAGAGTTTAATTTTTCAGTTTTAACCTATTCAAGTATGTTTACCTCAAATCATGTGGACACAGAGTTGGGGTCTCTCTCTCCATCCCTACTGCAGTTTCCCCTCCCTCCTCTCCTTCCAGTTCACCCCCTCTCCCACATCCACTCCTCCTCTGTTTCTCTTCAGAAAAGTGCAGGCCTCCCATGGATATCAACCAGCTATGGCATATCACATATACCATGAGAGGAAGCCCATTCCTGACATTGCTTGGAGTGTCAGGACACAGAGACCAGGATAGAAGCAAATATAACTGTCAAAAAAAGTCAATGAAATGACTTCCTAAGGACATTCTGCTATACTCATAGATTGCCTAGCCCATGAGAGAGTCTTCATCCAGCAACTGATGGCAACAAATGCAGGCATCCATACCCAAACATTAGGCAGAACTTGGAGAATCCTGCAGAAGATGGGGAGGAAGGATTGTAGGAGCCAGAGGGTCAAGGATACCACAAGAAAACCCACAGAATCAACTAACCTGGGCTCACAGGGTCTTACAGAGACTGAACTGACAGCCAGGGATCCTGCATGGAACTGACCTAGGCCCTCTGCACATATGTTACAGTTGTGTAGCTTGGTCTTCTTGTGGGACTCCTAACAGTGGGAGCAGAAGCTGTCTCTGACTCTGTTGCCTGCTTTTGGGACCCTTTCCTCCTGTGAGGTCTCCTTGTCCAGCCTTAATTGGAGAGGAGGTTCCTAGTCTCACTGCAACTTGATATGTCAAGGAAAGTTTTTGTTTTTTAAGCTGGCATATAGACATACTGGTGTGTGCCTATATTTCCAGATCTTCAGGAGGCTATGACAGGGAGACCATGGAAACTCAGAATTTTCAGCTAAGCTGGGCAGGGCAGTGAAGGCCTGTGTCTTATAAATAAATAGAGGTTGAGAGCATGGCTCTGTAGCTAAGGGTACTGGCTGTACAATTATAAAGACTTCAATCCCTGGAACCTACGTAAAGGTGGAAGGAGAGAACCAATTTCACAAAGTTGTCCTCTGACCTTCACAATGTGTGTGCATGCACACAAACACAAAAATATAAAATAAAGTAGGTCCTTTTTTTGTTTTGTTTTTCAAGAGTTTCTCTATGTAGCTCTGGCTATTCTGGAACTTGTTCCATAGACCAGGCTGACCTTGAACTCACAGAGATCAGCCTGCTTCTACCTCCTGAGTTGGAATAAAAGGTGTGGGCCATTACCACTTTTAAAGAGAGGATCTCATCACTATGTTGTCCTGTAACTTACTGTGTAGACCAGGCTGGCATTGAACTCATAACTCACAGAGATCCACCTGCTTGGCTCCAAAGTGCTGGGATTAAAAGCATATGTTATCATATCCATGACTCAGTGGCTTCATGTATCTTGGTGGTTTTTGTGTCCTTTCTTCATGGATCCTTTTGGAGGATTGCTTTAGGAACTGCTAATAAAGGAATACTGAGTGAGACCAATGGTCAGCTGAGCTTAAGCGACTCCCAGCACTACATGGCTGAGCATCCGTGTGGGAGGAAATCTGGCTTTCACTGTACCTTTTATGACTCACTGTGTTATCACAGGTCTACCTGTCGGTGCCATGTTTTCATCTATACGGGAGGCAGTTTTGAAATCATGTGTAGATGGCAATCTTGTTTTCAATGACACCACTCCAGCTGCATAGGCTTCCTGGTGCCGCCCTTTCTCTAGAGAAGCCTATGGTTGGGCGTGCAGCTCAGAGGTAGAATGGTTACTTAGCATGTGTGAAGTCTTTGGTCCCTAACCTCACCACTCAAAAAAAAATCATGTGATAGTTATCTGTAATAGATGGTTATTGTCTCATAGACAAGTTTGCTTTCAGAGATTGTAAATTAATGGCCACTACCCCTGGTCCAAAGTAGGGCTGACACAGTTAATAAAGATAGCCATAGCAAGTATCTGAGTGTAATGACAACATCTGACTGGAAGAAAAGAACACACTTATTTTGTTTGGCTTGAGTGTGTTACTCATTTCATTATTTTATCTCCTATCCTAGAACTTGTTAGGCATTGCAGAACATAAACCATGATCCCATGTTACCTCATCATTCCCTAGGAATATTTACTCATAAACACCTGCAGTTACAGAGGGTTCCAGCCAGCCCATTGTAAAAATGGATCTCTGTTATCTAGAATTGGGTTAATTATGCTTTTTGCTTCATTATATATCATCAGGCTTACTTGGCGATAAGCTGAGGAGTTTAATGTCTTGAATAGTTTCTTTTTTTTCCCCTCTTGAGTTATAGTTGTGTAATTGAACTCGGTAAATCTTGCACCATAATTGCTGCCTAAATTGTCTAAATATTAGGATTGCTTTTGGCAGTTTTGGAAAGTTTGACAACTACGCAGACTTTTATGATAAGAATAAGGGTTTGGGTTCAGAGGATGAAGTCATCGGCTTCTTCCACTTTTTGTTGTTGCACAACTTTAAGGTTAAATGAAAGATAGGCATTTGGGGAAGTGATGGCTGGGGGTGGGGTGGGGGTGAGGCTACAGTAAATTGTTTTCCATTGTTATAACACAATAG